GGGCGCGCCCCGGGCTCCGCTCCTGGCCCCCGGGGCGCCCGCGTCCCCCGCCCCCAAAGAAAGTGCCTGGGGGCGCCCCGCTTCCCCCCTTTCTGCCCTTGGGAGGGTCACGGCCGGCGGCACGCCTCGCCCCCTCGGAGGGGGAAGTGAGCCGGGCCGGTGTCTCGGGCTGCGGGGTGACTGTCCTGCTCCCCTCCCTGGAGCCGAGGCGGGAGATCCGAGAGCGCCCTTGACCCTTGCACCCCGGGACTCCCTCCCCGAACCCCGCCGCCCTCGGGTGGCGGGGGGTGACCGAAGTCACAAGGTCGCTCCCAGCTCCTGCCCTGTTGGACCGCCTGCTGAGCAAGGGAGTTCTGAAACCATCGCGGGGAGGAAACTTTTGCTGAACCTTGTCAAGGGCGTAGGGTACAGCCCCTGGAGGCAAGGGCGTGAAATTTGAGGGCGTCAGGTTTGCGGTACTGGCCGCAGGAAAGGGTAGACCCGTACAGTTAGCCTAAAAAAGGTTATTAGCACGAGCGGTTTTTAGCCCCGGTGTTAAAAGGATACTCGTCTGTAACTGCCGTTTTACATAAGTCGGAAAAGAGATCCCATCTGTTGCTTTTTTCCAAAAGTGAAATTGCATGGTAATATAAAGACCTTTCGGCCTAAACGTGATGGATCGTCTGCAGGTGGAGTCAGTGAATCAGTGTTGCATTGGCCGATAGCCTCTGCTTCAGTTTTGATAGTATTTTAAAAGTCAAGCGCCATTCTTAAGTGAAAAGTACACGGAGTCTTTATTCTTGACCATTCAAAGAAATGGAGAAGATGCTTTTTATGGTGTGATGTAGGAGTCAGTTCTCGGTTTTCGTAGTGTCAGGTGTTTTCTACTTGGCAGAATTGAAATACAGCACCTGGTAGTTGGTGCGCATTAAGAGTCTCCTTCCTTTATTTGCCTAGCATGTTATCTGGGGTTTTGCAGGGCTTTTCAAACGGTGTTTTGTAAGTGGATTTTTTTGTTTGGGAATTACGTAAAAAACACCTTTGTGTGTGACCGCCACTCCCACCACCACACATTTTGGGTAGAGAAAAACTGTGTAGACAAGGAGGCGTTTGGAGCTCCCAGACCCCTGCCTGCTCCCCGCATTAGTACTTCTGCAGTTAACCTGTAAGACTTGTATTTGGCCTGCCTTCGTGTTTAGCACACAGTTAATTAAAGTCTCTTTGAAGGCTTCTGAACTCTGCTTTTCCCGTCCTTAATTGAAGATACTTTATGTCTTAGTGTGGTTGAAGTTAAGGAATTACATTAATGAATGGAGTCAGCATGTTAAGTGTGAGCCAGGTGAACACCTGGTTTTTAATAACGTACACTGGGTCCTAAGAGTGACTGACTTTGAGCATGGCTGTGAGATGAAGTAAGTCATTAGCCATCTAGCGTTTTGAGTTGGCATGATCAGAAAATTGACAGGAAAGTGGTTTTTCAGTTATCCAAATAAATGACTTCTTAATAGACTGTTAACAGGGGCCAGAAGTAACAGTTTAGTAAGGCAAATACTGAATTTGAACTGACCTCTGCGAGTTGAAATCAGTTTCTCCCTCAGTTTTCAGCTGGTCTTCTGTCTAGGGAAATGTGAGGCCATGCTGCTCACGGATTTGAGGCCTGATCTGGGAGAAGTTTTTAACTGTGTATTTCTAGAAGATTTGGTGCTGAGGCTAGGGTGCTGCGGGAGCAAGCAACAGTTACTGGTTCTCAGTGTTCCGTAGCAATTGTCTTTAGACGGTCTCACACAACCTCGGGTGCCGTTGTCTTCAGAGCCTGGACATTGGGTTATGCAGTATGACTTCTCCTCCTGCATTGGTTTTAACCACCTTCTGCCCCAGAAATTATTTTATGAATTGCAACATGTGAAACATTTTCAGAAAGACCAGTTGCTTTAATAGTATTTGTTTTTCACGGTTCTAATTTTAACAGGGTGGACTCTTTATTTTTTAATGATAAGGGTGTTTTGATGCCTGTCTGTGTTTTTGGAGGAGGTGGGTCGGAATAGTTAAAATTTGCTGGAATAAAAGTTCACAGTATTTAATGACTCTCCCCACACTTTGTTTTAAACAAGGTATGAGGGTGCTGGTAGATGCTCGAGAGAAGCTTCATATTCCTTGGGGAGATGATGACAACCAGCTCCATGGAGACAAGTTGATGGCGTTTGATACTCGTGCTCCCATGGCTGCAAAAGGAATGGTGGAAACGGGGATTTTTTTACAATATCTTCCTGCTATAAGAGCCTTATGGGCAGACAGTGGCATACAGCATGCCTATGACCGGCGTCGAGAATTCCAGTTGGTAAGATGTTTGCGCTTTTAAAATGTGGTTTTATGTTAATGACATTGAATAATATGATTTAGCACACTTTTTTCACTGACTTCCGTAATGTATTTATCCAAAATTATAGTCTTAGGTGTTGGTATTACGGTGTGAGCTTTTCCTAAGCCCATGCACTACGTAGACTTGGTGAAGCTGTTCATCACTTTTCCTTTTTGAAAGGAAGATTATAATGATTTTCTTTGGCACTTCTAATTTTGTTCTTTTATTGGAATTAATCTTCTAACCATCATTAACAGTGTTCTTCCTACAAAAATTGACCTTTATTCTTAGAATAAGAGTTCAGTAGCCTAGTTGTTTTAGATGTTATTTAATCATTTTATGATACAGATTAATTTGACACAGATTAAATTCTTTAGTGTTTAAGAGTAAATACATTTTTTATATCTTCACATTTTGTGTTTTATAAGGCTTCTAAACATTTTATAAAATGTTCCTTATTTAAATACAAAATGATATTAGTCTTTCGTTGTTGTTCCTCTGTTTCACATGGGAAACAAATTTTATTTTATATTTTCATTCTTAGTTTTGAACAAGACTAACCATAAAATACGTAGTGGCTGTTACAGGATTGAAAAAAGGATGGAAAAGAAATATGACCAGTGTAGGTTAAGTATACCAAAATAATAATTGAGACAGATTTTTAATTGTGTTTTTTGTAAGGAATGTTTTGCTTGTATTCTGGGTTTTTTATTTGCCAAAGACCAGAAAGATTGTATCAATGGTTGCAATCTAGCATATGCGATCTGAGATCTGAAAGTAGTTCACGTTGAAGCGTGCTACTGTAATACGATTAAAATAAAGTGACAGTTAAAAGTAAATCTCAGGAAGTTGTTTGATGTTGTCACTGACATTAAAATGATCCACATTTATGGATGTGGCTACACTAGAATGTATAACCAACAGTCTTTGTGCTCAGAAACAGTCTTGACTATTCAGAGTTGTGGAAAAGTGATCATAGTATCTTTCTAAAACACTTAACGTATTAGTCTTTATTTTGTCTGAATTATGGCTTTTATGTGCTCCATATAACCAGCAGCTGATTATGTGCTATCTCGCATAGTTCTCGTTCATGTTATCTCTTATTAAATAATTTGTTCATTTTTGAAAGTCAGGGACTGGCTCATATTTTTGTTAAAACTGAGTATCTAGAAATGTTGAAAATTATGATTTTGACAAGAGACTGTGTCCAGTTCCCAGAGTTCTGGTTGGGTTTTGACCTTTGGCAAGTATTGTTATGGTAGCCATGGTAGACCTGCTTGGCTGAGTTCCTTCCCATCTTCCTGCACCATTGCTCCAGTTTTTAGGTGTTGCTTATTCTCCTTAGTTCAATTTTTTAAACAGACCACACTTTGCGCCTCAAGCTGTTACTCATCTTTCCAAAGTGTGGGGAAGAGCCACTTGTAATAAGCATCCAGTACATTTTGAATGAATAAATGAACATCTGTTTCCCTGAAAGTTCCCTGTGGGAAAGATACTTGTCCTACGGCCATCTACAGTGATTTTTTTTTTTTTTGGTACCGGGAATTGAACTCAAAACCTTGCGCTTGCCAGGCAGGCGCTATGCCTCTGAGCTATCTCCCCAGCCCTTGAAATTATTTTAAATCTGGACTTTTTGCACTTAAGTTTCATACCAAGACTTGGGTCATCATTATTGAAATAGATCCTTAAGTATTTCTTTGTCTTTAGTAGCAAATAGGTGAAACTACTCAGGATAAGGACCTCCATGTTCTTGATTTGAACCAGTTAGTGCTTCAAGGCAGAAGTTCTCACAGGTTTGGAAAGGAAGGTTCACAAATACTTGCATTCTGATAAAAAGTAGACAAGAAAAGAGGAACAGGACAAGATCTAATTTTAAACTGGTGATGGGGACTTTTCCCTCTGGGTGTATCTTGGCACATGTAGTACGTGCTTGATTATTATGTTGAATTCATGATTTTCACTCTTTGGATTCTCTGTGGTGGTTGGCGTGGTGATTCTAACAATATTTCATTAGGCTGCTGGACATTTCCTATAATCTTTTAATTCCCACATGCTCTGAGTTTTTGCTTCCATAGCTCTTCATATAGTACCTTTGCCAGGATTTTTCTTCACCATTAGATCTTACGCTTCACTTGGAGCAGTAATCAGATTTTACTGTGACTACATGTGATCCCTGGACCTCTTTGCTTCAGATTTAACTGAAATGCTTATTAAAACAACACAAGCAGATTCCCAAACTTCCTTCACATAAGGAGACTGAGTGATCTGTATGTGTAGTACACAGCCACAGGTGATTCGGAGGAATGTGTTCGCGCTCCTGTCCCTTTCCCCCATGCCTTCGGGCCGTGTCTCTGGCACTTCCTCAGGCCTCATGCATTTGTGCTCTGTGGTCTCCAGTGTGCTCGCTTAAGCTCATCTTGGCCGGCTTGTGCATTAGAGTTACTTACTTTGCTGGTTGGCTCCTCCTTAACAGGGAAGCCTCTTTTGGTATGCCGCGTCTGTTTCTCTTCCATTAGCGGGAGGCCTGGCGCTTCATTCTATTTCTTCAGTCTTTCAGGCCTTCTGAACTACTAAGTGTCTTCTAGGGGGAAAAAAAAACAAAAAACAAAACATTGTACATTAAGTTTTTTCTGGGGAATGTAAATTATTGTATTTCTATGTGCTTGTTTGTTGATTTTTCCAGGAAATGGGAAATCTTTGAACAGTATTATGTAGCCATAATTTGTTTGCTTAAAATTTTTGTTTTACTGTTATGTTTAACAATGCATATGTTTGAATTTTGGGTAGAAAAAAAAATGTTGGAAAATGGAAGGAGTTAGCACATATGGCAACTAAAATTAAGTTTTTTTGTTTCCACTAAGGATTAATTTTTAAACTCCTTAATGCAAATTAGAGTTTGAAAACAAATACTGGCAGTTTTTAAGGCTCTCCATAACTTGTATTTTGCATGAGTGATTGACTGCCCGTTAGACAGTTTTTTAGATACGGGCTAGGTAGTGATACCTCGGAAAGCCTCTCATTTGTTAGTAGTAACTTTAGATACAAGCATGAATGTTTTCTTCAAGTTCCCAAAGGCAAACATTTCCTTTTCTGGTTAGTTCCATTATGGGTAGATGAAATAGCTTACTGTGGAAAAGGAAACTATAAGATTCATGATCTTGTTAAAACTCGGGATCCTTTCCACATGTAAACTACTGCAATGAGGACAATATATCTTAAGAGGTAGTCTCTTTTAACGTTGGATTAAATATTTTAATACCCTACTTTGGCTGTAGATGCAGGCTTGCAACAGCACTAATGAGATACCTTGTCTTTAGAAAAATTCAGTTGACAGGGAGTTTGGTACCTTGGTGACTTAGAAATATGGGCTCAGGGATTGGCTGGGGTGTGCAGTAATTTGCAATGCAGATCGAACTAACAAAATGGCTGGGAGTCACTGCCAACTGTTTCTTGTTTACTTTACAGTTGCTTGTTGGGGAGTATAAGCAATGCTGGTTATATAGGACAAGGGCAGTGTGTGTGACCGTGGAAGGAGCACCCCACAACTTCCTAGTTTCTGTAAACAGTTTAACATTGTCAGCATTAATACAGCTTCCTGTAACGGCTAGTCTGTCTTTGCAATTCCTGAAACCAAAACTATTTTGTTAATCGTGGTACCTTCAGTTAGACTTCACATTTCTTACCCAGATGGACAGTTTGTGCTTGAGATTTATCTTCTCCAAGCTGATTCATAGTTTATTCACGAAGACAGAGGAGTCTCCGCTCAGTCTGTTTAACAGAGCAATTATTTAGCTTCTGAAGGAACAGAGTGCCTAGTATGTAAAACTCAAAAACTTCTGTTTTGGCTAAAATATTTTTATTTGCTCTACAGCAAGTAATAGAATCAGAGTCATTCGACTTTTTAAATATTAATTGGAATTTGCTTTAGAAAATAAATCAGTTACTGTTTTTGGTTGTAAAATGTCATGTTTCTATTGGAGAATTTAGTTCATTTTGTCTTCCATGACTAAAAATCAATCCGGGCGTGGTGGCACATGCCTGTAATCCCAGCACTCAGGAGGCTGAGGCAGGAGGATCCTTGCAAGTTCAAGACCAGCCTGGGCTACAAAGTGAGCTCAAGGCCAGCCTGAACTACATGAGACCCTTGTCTCAAAAGACAAAAAAGAAAAAAAAAATCACGCCAAAGACTTGGACTTTGATTTGCTAAAACCTGTAGGGTGTCTACTGATTTTCCAGATTAGGGTGAAGTCTTCCAACCTGTGTAACACAAGGATTATGTGTAACATTAGAGATAGTAAAGATTTAAAATTTAGATGTCTATAGATGTAATTCCTTTTCATGAATTTGATCAGATGTCAGAATGCTTACATTTTATCCATTTTTATCTTGGAAACCCATCCTTTTAAAGGATGTTTTGGTATGGGCTTACAGTTTTAATACAACTTTGTGAGGATGTGTATATGTGTGCATATAAACATAGACATAATCATTTGATGTATTATGTTGACTTTTTTATGGAAACTTGACAATCTGGGCTCTTGACCCAAGAGACACTGTAAAATCTTGTGCCACTTTCTGTGTTACCTTTATTGCTAAACAAAGTTCAGTACTTGATGCTGCTTTGAAAATGTTTATTAAACAATGAAAGAATGGAGCAAGGAAATGGTTTTATAATAAAAACTAGTAGTTTCAGGACTCTTCACCTAGACTGTGGACCTAATCCAGGAAGAAAAGTTAGTGAGCTTACTTTACAGAAAAACGTAATAGCCTATGGACTCCATGGATGGAGGGTTTCCTGTCTCAAATTAGGCAGCAACCCAACCAAGTTGGGCATCTAGTCATATTAGCCCCCAACAAGTACCAGTTTCTTCAGAAAAATTAACTTACGGTGTTGATAACTATGATCACTGCTCAGTACTTGTAATGTTTATAATAGTTGTTTTATACTTTTCGAAGCACTACTGTATGCATTATCATTT